AAAGAAAACCACTTGAATGCAATTTTCTGCAAAATTTCATTAATCTATGTCCTCTGTCTTCCCCTGGTTCAATACATTTTGTCTAGCTGAAAGTAATTGATACAAATATTCCCTGCAGCCTGGAGTTGGCCTCAGCTCCTTGGTACCCCATCACAGAGAAAGACTGCGTATGTGTGAACTTCATCCTGATTTAATAAGGGAAGTCATACATTTAGTAAGTTTAGTAAGTCTAGTCCTGAACTTTACCCATTATAGTATTTATGAGACAGACTCATAAATAATAAAACAAAATACAGACCATCTTTGTTACCTGTATGTTTAATGATTGTTTGTGCAATTACAAAAATATTCATGTTAGACAATTTCATATCAATGAACAAGTAGAGGACTCCTGATTCTCTTTGAAAAGATCCAGTTTCCACACATATGGACAAACAATTCAACAACTTGTTTGAACTTGTTAGTATTGCTACTCTGCAAACTGTTAGGTTTTTAGTTTTGGGGTTTTTTTTAATTAAAGTACTTAATTCTTCCATTACTCAGTATAGGAGTTCCTACTGATTGCGATCAGGACAAATCTCAGAAATTTGAGTACATAGCCAACTTTTAATCACATCTCCTAGGCCAAAGCATGACAATGTTTTCCAGTTATCACAGCCCTACACTCCAATTTCTGCAAATTAGAAAATAAAAAAACAACCCAGCTGCTCACATCGCTTTGCCACAAAGGGAGGATTTTTTGCACTGCATTCAGCCCCGAGCCCTTGCAGACACAAGGGAAAAGGCAAATGGGAAATCTGTTCCTGAGACCACTTTGTGACATTCCATTGAGAAGGTCCCAGAAAAGAACAAGCTGCTCTCCCCAGCTACAAAACAAACACCTCGGACTTCAGCAGCACAAAGGAAGTATCATCCAGATCAATGGCCACAGCTCAAAATGTTAAAGCCAACACTGTTTCACTTATTTGGGCTTCTAAGCAACTCCAAGTACTGTTTTTATGCACCATGCCTAATTCCCAGATAGTGGGGGTGCATCCCTCTATTGAAAGGATTGCAGTATGCAGCACCCACAATGCGCTGTAGTTTACTTTCGTGACACAAAAAGGCACAAATAACCTGTATCAATGACTTTGAGACAGCTTCTAGAAAAGTTACTTAAAAAAAACGGAAGTGGGTTAAAAAGGTAGATGTTCTCGCTTAAGGTGGCCTGAAATCACTTGAGGATCTGTTCCAGCAAAACTGGTTCTCAGTCTCGACCATTCTGAGAGTTGCAGCATAAGCTTCAGTCTGTTTATCAATGTGAATTGCCTCTCTTCAAATTCACTTGCTCTGCTACACCATCAGCACATCTTTAAATGCAACAGTATTGGTTTTATTACATCCCACTACATTTGCAGTTTGTGTTTTGTTTATGGAAAACTAAAGACAAAAACAAAACAAAACAAAGAGCACGCAAGCACACTGGATCTATCACTCTCTTTGCAAATGCCCCCATTCTTCAAAATCAAAGTCAAAATTTTGCTGGTTCAGACATTCTCTGAGTTACAGTAAGTGTGCGCAACACTGTCCAGTGGACTCCTGTCACGCAATACAAGCAGCAAAGAAGTCTTGCTGACTTTTTAGTGTGGTCCTTTCTCTGATGTGCTTTGCTAACACTCCAGCCTGAATTTTCAAGTTTCCTCTTGACTTTCCTAGTTCAGAGCTTGCAGTGAGGCAACTACATCAATATTCTAATTTAATTAGAAAGTAGACTGCTGATCAAAACATCAAGCAGAGTGCCACAGATTAGAGTTGGATTAAAAGCAAAGGAAAAATATATTAAAACGCTTTTGAAATTCACCCTTCCATGTTTATTTAACATTAGCCTCTGGGCTTCAATTCAGAGAATAAATTTTGGGTGTCCAGAAAAGCTTAATGCATTAACCCAGTTTTCATAAGCCTAGATGGTAGGAAATAAGTATTTGAAATAAACAAGCTGTTAGGACAAGTACATTCTGCGGTTATTAAAAGAAGACTGGAAGCCAGGTCTGCAAATACCTGCAACTACCTACTTGACATTGCTGGTCTTCAAGAATAACTGTACGCTCATTATGTGTAACTTCATATACTCCTTATACTTAGTAGTATTGTTGAGTCCAAACAACCTCTTAATTTTACAGACAAAAGTGTTAACATGGGATTTATACTTCTATCTTCCCAGTCAACATTTTCAGGTGTCCTTCTGCACTCCAGAGTTAAATGTGTAGTTTCTTACATGTAGTCTCTTACTCTTGGATATTAGAAGTCTACAGTGATGCTTCTCTGTACACATCCTGACCAGGATGAGCACATTTTCACAAACACTGGAGAGTTGGCTTTAAGTATTCAAAAGCAAAGAACGTACACATCCTGACCAGGATGAACAAAGCTGAGAACATTTTCACAAACACTGCAGAGTTGGCTTTAAGTATTCAAAAGCAAAGAAATCTTCACAGCAATGCAAGGATGATGCTGACAAACACCTGTTGAAAAGGCGGCGATACATACCTTGCTGAACAATGTCACTTTATTCCCTGTGCAGAATGGAAAGTTTACTTGATCTAAGTCTGTCCGAAATTTCAGTGTAAATGAGAGTTCTCTTCAAACTGTTTCAAGGACAGCTGCCATTTCCTTGAACTGTCTGAAGAAGTTCTAAAAAGCAAGAGTTAAGATCTATTTCAGTTGGTTGAAGAAAAGTTCAAACTGAACATGTTGGACACAAAAAAAAAAATCACAATCCATGTTCCTCACATTCCCTCTTTCCTCCAGTTACAATTTGGAGCTTGAACTGAAAGTTTCTGCTTTTCTTTTTGTGGGCTGGTTGGCATTTGGACACATTCACTATGAAATCTACATCATCTAATGTGACACTTTGTTTGCATGGGTTTGCCTGTTAATAGGAGACGATACTATGAAAGAAAGTAGCTCTCACACCACAACAAAAAAATACCAAAAAACCTTCTCACACAGATGCTTCTATTCCCAGGTGAAATACTCCTGGCTTCTCAAGTATAGCATCCATTTCTTACAGCAGTTTAACAGCAAATCATTAAACAGGTTTTAACCAGAATGAATACAACATTTCACAACACTTAAGGATTCAAAATATCCTTCTCAAATTCCTACCAGTCCAGCTCCAAGGATTTACTTATTTGTAAGCTTGTACGACACTCTAAGCGAAGTATTCGCCCTTTAAACAGGAATAACTAGAGAAGGGCCACATTTATGGAAAATTCAACAAATTTACATTAAGTTCATAGATGAAGGCACAGCAATTAAGAGCCAGTGGTGACAAAGCAGACTGACCTCCATTCCCAATCATTAGCATATGTTAGGCTTAAGCCAACTTTTAGATTTTGGAGCTGAGGAACAGTTCCATAGGTTTAGAACATTCCCTCTGTTTTTAGTAAGGCAGAGTGACAGCTGACAAAATATATCCAAAAGTCTTCGCATCTTCAGTTGTTCACTTATTTGTAAGGAAACAGATTAATTACTGATAAATTAACATTTTCAGATAAGTGATGTAGAACTAAATGCTATTAAATAAGTATTTTAGCTTCAGTGTTTCTAATAATTATTTAATGCTTCGTCTTTGAATGACTGTGTTAATGAATTGACAATGCAAACATATACATCAAGGTATAGAGTTGCTCCTTCACAACGTCACTGTTGTTTTTAAGAAACTGAATCAAATAACACTGGTTACAGACCTTGAACTGTGGGATCGTCATTTCAAAAGTTTTGTCTGTTATTTGTCCTGAAGGGTCTGCCACTTTTAGGGTCACTGTAACATAAGGATACTTCAGAGACCTGCAGGTGTCAGAGCTCATCGCAACTCCCAGTTTCCATTTAATATCTACAAACTACAAAGAAGAAAATAATTGGGAACAGTGTTAAAGAAAGATCTAGCCTACCATTGCTATTCCATTGGATGGCTATTTTACACACAATATAGGACATACAGAGCTCATATCCAAATGGGAAACAAACATACACATTCAGAAATTATTGCGAATACAAAAAACAATTAATAATGAAAAAAATAAGCAATTAAATAAGTTACTTCACTTAATCATTTTCCTTATTCAAATACTGTCAATAGTCAAGTACAGTCTATTTAAAGCTTAGTAAGAGGAGCCTGAGCCAGAATTCACCTGGCTTTATATCATTCATGCTTTTGTAATTTTTTTTAAGTCTCTAGATCAAGTGGAAACATGAGGAAAACTTCAGTGCACAAAATTTTTATAATAGCAATAATAGAAAAAATTAAGGCATTTCATAACTATTTTAGATAAATCAATGTACCTCAAAATACATTCAGACATGTTATCATTTTTAGCCTTTTATGATAGGCAGAACTGTTGAATAAAGAACTGAACAGAGCCTTCAGAAGCTTACTATCAAGCCTCAGAGAAAATTTTTTTTTCCTAATTCCATATGCTTTGAAACTGTTGTTAGAAAAAGATTTTAAAATGTTATTTTTTCAAAAAGGAAAAAAAAGGAATGCTGGAAATTGACAGAAAGTATCTTTAAAAGTAGTTTAAACTGAAGGGAGACAAAGAATAAAACAATCAATCCTGGTGTTATCACCTCTAAAGAAGAATTCAAATTACATTTAAAACAGATTTACATAAACAACTAATACAATTACCTGACACACTGACTGCCCCTTACTTTCCCTAATAGTACTATGAAGCACTAATTTTTGAAAAGTTATGAATCATGACTATCATCCAAACAGTAACATTAAAAAAAACCATTCAGCATTTAGCCAACCTTTATTGTATACGCTTCTTTATCTGGGTAGACATTTGGCAACATATATATATAGGAAAGCTTTCGGCAGCCAAGATACCACTATGTGCTCGACAATACAGCACACACAATGAAGCACTGGCACTTCTGAAAAGTTAGTAGTTAGCTCAGCTGCACTTTGTCATTGAGTTACCTGCCCCACTGTCGCCGTGTTTCTTGCGTCTTCTGATACACTAATGGATTTGCCCTGCTCATTCCACACATGTCGAATAACTTGAACTGCATGTTTTGGCAGCGTGCTGACTGCATTGCCCAAGGTGGTGACGAGTTCTTCTGTAGAGAGATTGTTTCTGGCTGCTGTGCTATAGGTATATCCAGAGAACACTGCATCAGTTTCATTCTCCATGAATTTAATAAAATTCGGCCTAAACAGGCAAATAATTAAGCAGCCCATGGTTTTGGTTGGTTTTGGTTTTTTTTTTTTCCCCCCAGAATACTTTACTAATCTTTTGTATCTACATGCAAAAAACAACAGGATTTGACTTGTGTCTTAGAGACCAAGCTTCACTAGGCTTGCACAACACACAACATTAAAATAAAAATAATCACAGCTTCCAAGTGCTGTTTCAGCTGAAAAAAGGCATAATTCAGTGAAAGATGTGTGCATAGAACAGTTAAACAGTATTATTACTTTAGAAGCAAGACAGTTTAAATAAACATTTAGGAGAGGTAATTTAAGTATCACCACAAGGCAAGTAAGGACATCTAGGTAATGGTATAAGTGGTATTAACAGGAGTCAAATGATGCAATAAACCCTCAACTGAAAAGGCAGCAAGTCTAGAGGAAAATTGCCACTTGATTTCCTCTACAGAAGCAGGTTGAAAGAAGATTCCAACCCTAGCTTTGATCATGCAGATCCACTCCTCTTAAAGAGACATTAATAAAAGAGAAAAAGAGTTGGTCCTCCAAGAAGCATGGTCCAATATAATTTAAGGCTTTATATTTTATAGCAGAAGTTAAATTTCTACTGATTATTTTCTCCAGTCATAATAAGTTACATAAAATGTTTAGATGCTAGATATTAAAAGAACAAGTAAGATCGTGAAAATTTTATCTTTCTGAAAAGAAAAACTTCAACCAAAACAGCTGAAAATACTACCTAAACCCTCTACCTTTATCACAGGAGAGTTCAACATTATAAAATTGCATGCCCTTCAAACAGGCACAAATACTGGTTTCTAATTTCTAAGAAACAAGAGGTTTTTAGCACACACTTCTTCCAGGCAAAGGCCTAGCTGACTTAGCTTTAGAACTGACCTTAGCTGCCTCTTATTTTGCCAGTAGTTCTAAAGCTGGCAGACAGGATCTTAGAACGATTTCCTCTTATATAGTCTTTTTGTAATAAAAAGAACCTATTAAGTAACTACACATTTTTTAAGAACATAAACTAAACCTAGAAGTTCTTTTTTGTGAACTGAGTTACAAACTTTTGCCCTTTTCCCAAATTAGTTGATTTTATACCCATATTTGATGTCACCTTTTAAAACAACCATTAAGTTGGGGTGGAGGAAAAAACCACAAGGTACAGTAAATTATTTTGTGCTTACCTAAATAGAAAGGAAACCACATTAACTATTTTTGCCAGGTCACCAACATTAATCTCAATCCCAGATGTTTGAATTCTCTAGAAACAGAATGTTCAAACAATTACAAAGAGTATTATGCATTCATAAAAACCTCTTTGTGTGTACATATATATATAAAAAAATATATACACACAAAAAAAAATGACTTGAGGAATCTAACCTTTACAGGTAATATACTTGCTTAGACGTGCTAGTATCCAAACTTACCTGACACAATTCAGCTGTATTTACACCTGAGATCTTATGGTTCAGATGTTGAATTATTTGTTCACACTGCAAAGAAAGTAAGTTTAAAAACATTCTTAATACATATTTTAATATACAAGACAAACCTAGTTTGGAATCTTCGAGATTACAAAACAATAAAGAAAACTGGCTAATGCAAAAATGGACAGGCAAATGCTTTAAATGCAGAGTGAATAATAAAGTCATTGAAATGACTAATTTTAAAATTACATCAAACCCCCCAAAAAATCAAATAAAATCAGTCAAGACTTTGAGTTACTAGCTCACTAGCTATTCCTACTTATCCCACCAGTTTGATACTAATTGAACAGTCATCCTGTTCAAGTGAACACCACAGCTGAATGTTTTCTAGACAAGCTAGCTTGAGATCTCGTTTTCATGAAAGGCAAAAATACATTTTTAAAAATCTTCTGTGATAAAAACATAAATTTAAAGCAAACCCATTGCTCTTAGCAGACTGGTCCATTTTATGAGCCATGTAAATCTAAGCTACCACATACATCATATTTATTCCCTTTGCAACAGACAAAAACCAGAAAAGCTTAAACAAAAAGCTTTCCTAGAATCAGAGCCAGAAGCCCTTCTGCATCCCATTTATTGCCTGACTTACCAGTTCTGCAAAAAAGTCTTGAGGTATTAAATTAATCTTATCTGCTGCACCACCAACATCTGAAAAACACAAACAGTAGTGACCAGAAACAAGTCATTAAGGTGATATAATAATAAATCTTATGCTATCTTTGAATGATTCCTAGGTCATGCATTTACCTTAAAAGCAAAGCTTTCCTTAAGGGAATTTGTCCTGAATTGCTTTAACATAACCTGCTCAGCATCCTAAGTGAAGTCGAATAGGAGCAACTCCGTAAGGCCTTAAAGCCCCAGACTGAGTCTATGCAATTACACAGTCTAACGGCCCTGAATAACTCCCCCCGACCCTGGGAAGCAGTACCGCACCAAGTCCCCCAGCTGATCAGTAAGCCAGGCATGCCCCGGGCTGGCACCAGCAGCACACGACCGCTCCTCTCCCTACGGCTACATCCAGACCGCCTCCTGGCGGCGAAGCGGGCACCCCGTGGGCAGCCCGGGAAGGCCCCCGCTAGCCCACCACAAGCCTTCACCACGACGTACCGTGAACAGCTCGCCCTGGACCCTGGGCGAGGTGGCGCCGCGGAACAGCCCCAGGCGGAGCCCTCAGAAAGGCGGAGCGCCCGCACCCCCGG